TCTTTTTATTTTCTTCCTCCTAATAGTCCCTCGGGTTTGAAAGTTATATAACAAGTATGGCTTTGAGCTGCTGCTGCCTCGTTTTGGAGGCAGGGGTGCGTGTGGCGGTCTGCGCATACGCTCAGCAAAACTGGCTGTAGAGGCTATTGTCGAGTTTTGGCATTGTGTGCTAGACTTTCATCTGCCTTGTTCTCTGCAAGAAGTCTCTGGGGGAGTGGCGTTAGGGAGACGTGGGTGGACTTGTCTTTTCCTTATCACAGAGATCTGTGGGTGAAAGCAACATCCTCTGCTCTGTGGGGCTTCTTTCCGAGCACAAGGATAGAGGGCTTAGAAATGATGCAACACCTTCTCTTTTTTTCCTGCGCCCTGTGCCCAAACTATGGGTATTTCCTCAGAGAGGTTTTCCAGTGTGTCTGGTGCCCGGGGACAACTGACTGGATGTAAATTGCTGTACTGACACACCCAGTCCTTTCAAAAGGAGTATGCTGGTCCCCATTTAAAGAACAGGGATGGGAATATATACAAGAAAAGATATCTCAACTTGGAGCTGTATAAATACTTATCCTTATACCCTTTTTCATTTAGCCTGGCTTTTTGTATGCTTTTTTCCCCCTCCCCTAGGAGAAGTGATGCTACCCTAGAATATGCTTAAGTTTAGAATGAGGAAAAGTCTAGGTTAAAGTCCAAGAGGCGAGGGGATACTTCGATGGGGTGGCACTTGTCTAATTTTCTGTTCCATTCTCTACCCTCGTTTCAATGTGAAGTTGAATTGTTTTAAATGTTTCCCATAAAGCTTGCAGTTTCTGCACTGCATCTCAGTTAGAGTATGTGTTGGTGCTTTTACACTTGCATTTCCTGCCCTCTTTTCTTATTTTCAAATATGCAATTTCACTGTTCAATAACTATAACCTTTCTTTGCATTTTAAAAGAAAAAATTGCATTTCTTAAGGTAAGGATTTCTCAAGATCACAAAGGATTGTTGTTTCATTACTTTTTTTTCCTGGCTGCAGACAGAAATTAAGGGGAGAAATACATTTTGTGAAAGATGTGCTGAAACTACTGCACAAAATCAATCCATTCATAAACGGTGTTGTCATGTGCCTTAATGGTGGATTAATGAATCCTGCCTGTGAGTGCTATCCAGTAACAGGGGCAAGACATAGTGCTCACTCCACCAAAGACTTTGTTAGTCTGTGTCCAAGTGATATAAATGGGCTTCTGTATGGGAGAGGAATCCCTAATACAGTGGCAGCCAGTCTTACTGATGGAGAGAGCTGTGGGGTGTGCAGCTCAGCTGATCGAGTTGAAGAGGAGCTGGGCTTGCAGGTGGAGAAGAGAATTGACCCAAGTGCAGGGAGCAGGCTGGATGCCAGGTCTGAGGCAGCCTCTGCCCCAGCAGCTCCTGCTGGCTTCTGCAGCAGGAGATCTGGCTTCCCCTGCACCAGCACAGCCAGTATGACCCAGCTGTGCTCAAGCCCCATGTCAGGAGCCATGGGGATGAAGAGGAAAGGTTTGTCACCACTGGAGTAGCAACCAGGTGAAAGTAAAGGGTGTTCAAGCAAACAGAAATCCTATTTCTAATCTCCTGTGCCATTTTAACTAGCAGTAGCTAAAGCTTCACTAAATGCAATACTGTTCTTCCCTTACTCTGTAGCTTGGCTTTTTTCTCGAAATTTTTGTGCTGGACCTGCACATCCTGGAGCCTGATAGCTCATTCTGTCAAACCTTGCCTAGAACAGTGGTTTTCAGCCTGTTTTCAACGTGCAGAATCCCAAATTACTTGAAAATGAAGCTGTATTGCTATGTAATGAAGTTGATTTTAGTGATAGTAGCTTCCTTTCAGTGACTTCTGGCTTCTTAGTGCTTACATGTAGGTCTGTGTGTAGTGGACCACAGCTCCCAAGGAATAGGATAAGTGACTTGGTGTCTTGCATCTGAGCATGCCATCTCTCTCCTTTGCTGCCAGCTGCTGTGAACATTACTGGAATCTAATTCGATGAACTGATTTTAAAAGTGATTGTACCATAATGCCTTTCTATTTTTCCTTTTCCCAAAGCAATTTGTAACTGTGCTGATTGGAGAATCTCAGGGCAGGAATTACACATTTTGGATTATACACTTAATTCCTTGAGCACTTTTTCCCTAAGAGGAGCAGCTGCCTGTTGTAGTTTTCCATTTATTAATTAAATCCTGAATGTGTGCGCACACACACAAGCTAGTCTGCAAGATAAGGATCTGTACAAAGCTTTTCTTCTGCAGAAGATTACTTGGCTTTCTCTTACCTGTTTAAATCTTAAATACTAGTCTCTTCCCTTTTTTATGACCCACAACAGATCTTTTTGCCCCCTTAATGCTAGCTCTGAGAGAGAAGGAATCCAAGGAAGCAGTGTTCAGAAATAAAGTGATGGTTACAGACAAAGGATTTGTTAAAAAAAGATGAAGCTGCTGGCCCAGTCCAGAGGCCTGTTGCTGCCTGGCTCAGAGGGTGCCACTCGGAGTCCTCCCATAGCTAACGCTGCAGCGCATGGACGTCGGAGCAGGAAGCTTTCCTCTCTGCTGATGTTCAGCTTATGCCCCGCAGCATGTGCTTTAGTAGCGTTTATACGTAGATTTGACCACTAATAACAAATATAGTTGTGTGTTGTAGCTGTTTAATACAAAGCCTCTTGTTTCTAATCAGTGCATGGAATCATAGTGCATGCTATGTGTTGTTGTCCCCCACCCCTTTTATTTACAGTGTACAGCCTCAGGTTTGTTTGCACCTCCACACTGTTTTTGATTTAAGAAAAAAAAAAAATAATCTCCAAACGTTTCTAGTTGCTGATAGCCCGACTCCTCCCCCACCTCCGCCCCCCGACGAGATGCCGATGTTTGATGACTCTCCTCCTCCTCCACCCCCACCTCCTGTGGATTATGAGGATGAGGAGGCTGCTGTTGTGCAGTACAGCGATCCCTATGCAGATGGAGATCCTGCTTGGGCACCTAAAAACTATATAGAGAAAGGTAAGAGAGATGTTGCAGCTGCATTAGTGCAATATCAGAGGATTAATGGTATCTGAAGGGAATGAAGGACTTAATGTGGATCTGATGAGAACAATCATTGTCCCTCCTAAGTCAGAACTTGACCCATGCTTTCCTTAGCTTTTTTGTGGCTACACCTAATGTTATAAGGTACAATCCTTTTTTGGACAAATTATAAAATACTGTCGAGCATTCTAGAACAGATGAAAACCAAAAAGCTTCTTTATGAGAAGCAGATGTAAATTGTATGGCTTTCATCTTTTCTGAGCTGGACTGTGGCTTTAGCCAGCTCAGGATTGCTAGGCAATCATCTAGAAACTGTTGCAAAAAGGCCAGAAATTGAGCCTGTATTTATCACATTGAACTAGATAGCTAGAGTGGATCATTAAACTTTCAACTATAAAATGTGTTGAGGAAATTTCAGTGACTCCCCCATCAGCAAACTACTAACACAGTAAATGTCTCTTCCCATGAATAATAGAGATGCTGATTTCCTGCCTAAGACATTAGATTTATGAGAATGTATATAGATGTAAAGTAGTAGAGTCTTGGAATTCATAAAGCTGATCAATTGCATAAATCTGTGTTCACTGTTTTGAATGGTAAGGCTGTGATGTCTGAACTCTGTATATTCATAGTGGTAGTTTTTAACTCCAGTATTGTTGGTGGCAACATTTACTTTCCTTAGGGAGATTTCTGCTTCGTTAGTGGCACACAGTGAGTTGGAGGTTGGTAAGAGTAAAGTATTCACCAAGCACGTACTGAAAAATAGCAGCTGTTGCTGTAAATTCACTTCTGCTTTCTCCTACAGTAACATTTCTACTTGCACTCACTGCATCTTCTTGAAAATTGATGCCAGAACTTCCTATCACACAGAAGCTCTGTAGGAAAGACCATCCATTTGTTGGAGCAGCTTTACACAGCAATGTGTCGAAGATCACACACTGAACAGTGTGTGTGTGTATATATATATATATATAGCTGCAGGGACCCTAGTGAAATAATTTAAAATAATTAAAAAAAAATATTTTGAGGTAATTTGACCAGAAATGGCTGCCACACTTATGGAGTCAGTTATTTAATAGCTGAGCTTTTAGGTGTCCATAAGCACTGCTTTACTGTGTCACAGTCAGATGTACCTCTCTGTCAGCAACTTAACTGAGCGTTCAGGGTAGTCACCACCCACTTCTTATTGGTAGCTAATGTTGCAAGCAAAGTGAAATTTTATTTTCTGGACTTAATGTTCAACAGGGAAGGCGTGTGAATTCACTATGGAGAATCCCAGTATAGCAAACTGGTCTTTTAATATATTTTGAAGTACAATTGTTTTTTAATAGTGGTGCTATTAATAAAATGCTAAACGTGTCCCTTTCCAATCCACAGTTGTTGCTATATATGACTATACAAAGGACAAAGACGATGAGCTGTCGTTTATGGAGGGTGCAATCATTTATGTGATAAAGAAGAACGATGACGGCTGGTATGAAGGAGTTTGCAATCGAGTAACTGGCTTATTTCCTGGGAATTACGTTGAATCAATCATGCACTATGCCGATTAAAATCCTTTGCTTTTCAAAGTTTGGTCTTGTATTCAGTCATACCATGATTATTTACAAGGGGTAACTAAAAGCTAACAGGATTGTCTTAATATACTTTCAAAAAATTGTGCCCATTTCTTCAGGCCATACTGTTTTAATGGTATGATTGAATGTCCATCTCTGAGTCTCTGGGGACAGTATGTCTTACCTGATGGCAATTTGTAAAACAAACAATGTCTATAACTGGTTATACTTATTTACTTATGCATTGTTAATTTTATGACCAGCCTAAATATTATGGGGAAGTAGGGTATAATATTTAATGAACCATGATCAGATTGTGCCATTACATTTTTCAGTACAGCATGGTAACTAACACTATGTTAGACTAACATATTAAAATCTGGATGAGAAGTTTAATGTTAGTGCTGGTCATATTACTTTTTGTTTAGACTCTTTGCTCATTCTTGAACTATATTTGTTTAAAGCATGCATACAAACTTATGTATTGAAATATACTTTTTTAAAAATCCAAGATGCTTCCAATTGTTGTAATCTTTACCTGGAGTATTCTCACTAAAGTCTATTACAATGAGTTGTTTGGGTCTAAGGTGTCCATGTGAATCAGAAAATGGGTGGTCTTATGTATGTGTAATTTGTACCCAAGTTTTTTTAATGAGTAAATTTACATTATGACTTTTTTCCATTCATAAATATATAAGTGAACCAAAGGTCTTGTCCATTACTTTGTTGGTTGGTTTGGCAAAAAAGTTTGGAATGCTAAGGTAGCAAAATCATGGCTGTGTCATCCCAGGCAATGTAGTGAAAAGCAAATGTTTGTAACATGAATTTATCACACAGAGGGAAAATAAATTAGATCTGAAACCCTGAATTACACCTTTACACATACTCTTAAAAGTTCTTTTCCTTCCAACATTTAATTATAGCAAGGATTCTTGATTTAATCTAGTTATCTCGATGCAGTAAAACTTGGACACCATCTGTAACTTACTGTTCTCTGAGGAAACTGTGTGTGGCTTGGTGATGTGCCCTGCTGAGATGAGACAGCAAGGTGTCCTCCAGAGAGCACCCAGGGGGAACACATATGACAGAAACTTGGCCATTGTGTTAAGGCATCACAGGCAGAGATAGAGATTGTTGCCTCCCTGTTCTACAGATTCTGTGGCTGAAATAACCTGAAAAGGAATGTGGTAGTACTGGATAATTACTGTGAGAAGAATGTGTCTGGGACTTCAAAGCAGGCTTCTAGAAGGGTACCGAATATACTCTATAAATGAGTGATGGAAGGGGATAGAGTTCAGGTTTGACTGGCTGGTGAATCAGTTTTAGTGTGAGTTACAAATACTGAGCCTTTCATTATCTGAACTGCAGCAATCTCAGATTCTGCATCTTGTTAACTGCTAGCAGGTAGCCACCAATAGCATACCTGTATTTCATTATGAATTGGAACTCACTGATGTATATAACCAATTAAAATCTACAGATAGTCTTTTATACTAAACCAGTATTGTATGTACAGTTCCAGTTGCTTCTGTTGTTAAACAGCCAGGGAAGCATTCAAACCATCTCGCTTCACAGGAGTTTACCAGCTCCTGTGCATGCATGCTCTGTTTATTAGTGTAAACAAGTGAAATTTGGAACAACTTCAGTTCTCATACACTGATTTATATTTATTGTCATTGTGGCCTTTGTGCATCAACATGTAAACATCTTCCCCATCCCCCACAATCAACAGCCCCCCCCTAAAACAATTGTATAGCACAGTTTGATTTGCTCTGAATTGCATTGCTTCCTGCAGTAAAACACTCTGAACTTTTGTTTAAAAAAAAAAAAAAAAAAAAGGTAGAATGTCAAAAAAAAAGAGTTTTTTTTAAAAAAATAATTTTTGGTAGCCTGTGTTGGAAGCAAATAACTTCTGAAATAAATGTAGGCACAGTCTGGTAAGTAGCTGCCAGGACGAGTGGAAGGAGTTGTCTCACTTGTCTCGCATGAGAACCATTTCTGTCAGGTGGACGAGGGCTTCTCTCTCGGGGGACGGCCGCAGTTTGCGGATCTCTCGCGTGGCCGCGTGGCAGTAGCGCTGGGCGAGGTAGGTTGTTTGCTGCACACCATCACTCTGAGGGGGGAAGACAGTGAAAGGAAACGGCTAAATGATCAAATGTCAAAATACTAAAGCTCATCCGTGCTAAATTTAAGTATACTTACAAAAAACAGCACTGGTATTAATAACGTATTAGAAAGTAATGGTTTAACGCCTCCCCTCCTGCCCTAAATAGGGATGTGCAAAAAAATGTGCTCCTCTGAAAAAAATAGCTATTACTTTTGCACAGACCATTACTCAGCCTTTTCAGACCAGAGTCAATTAAAACTGATACGGGGTGTGCACTGCAGTTACAAGACTGATTGGTAATGATGTGCCACTTATACCAGTTGTTGGATACAGCTACTCCTCAGCTGAAGGAACTGAGTTAGGCATAAGCTTTTTACTTTTATTATGTGGATTTTATGCTATGGGAGGGAAAAAAAGGCAAAAAAAGCTCTTCAGTACCTATTATTTCTTTTAAAACACTGTGCCACTAAGACAGCTGAAGAGTTCCTACTTGGCATTGTACATTGCATGCTACTTAGCAGGTATCTGACAATGCAGCCCTGCTATTTCACTTCAGAGACAGTGAATTTCAGACTGACTTCAGCAGGGAAAGCAGAAATATTTGGTATCAATCTTACCTGCAACACATATTTCCAAGCACGTTCAACATCTCCTGGCTTACTGAATCTCCTCATTATCATAGCATTCATTTCTGGAAACTAAGCACAAAGGGAGAAGGTTTTTGTACTGGTTTTGAGTTTTCCATGTAGCTGCCTGCTATGCTAAGGTTAAAATGACACCAAAGTACAGACCTCTTCCCCTGCCACCCTTGTTATTACAGGTATAGCTTTAGATTCATACTTGCAATCTGCATAGGACTGTAGTACAGCAAAGCCCAAGCATTTAAAACAAATTTGTCTGGCTCTGCTGCCTGTAAGCCAGTTGGTAGCAAAAGGTAGCCCCTGCCATTTCATCATGTTGAGCAGATGATCTACTGTGGTAATTTCTGATGTGGCTACTCCCTGGAGCATATTTTCTATCACAAATGCTAGTTAGTGTTGGCACAGCTCAGAGAAGCACCTCTTCCCCCCATGTACAACAGCAAACACAGGAGGTTTGTTTAGCTGTTATATCCACTTGTACTTTCTTTTGTGCTGGTATTTTGTGTACACAGGCTCTGCCCTGTGGAAAGCTCAGGACGGAGTTTTTTTGGTTTTTTTTTTTTTTTAGTGAGAAATGGCAACTAAAAGGTATTTTGGTTTCAGTCACACAGCATTTGTAGTTAGCAGTCCATGCTCAATTCCCTACAAATCAAGTAGGTGACTCAAGTCAGTTGTCTGAGAAAGTCACATCACTTATCTAAATGTGGAGGCTCTTTCTCCAGATAGCATAGAAACAGAAGAACCTGGTGCTTAACAAAGTAAGGTCATACACGGCACCTACTCTGCAGAAAAATTCTTTTTAAAGGAAAGAGGTGTTGGTTCATCTTGTTTGAAAGGATTAGAGTCAAAGAAAGATGATTTTATTGCTGTACACTTTTAAACAATGATCTACTTTCCTAGCACACCTTTGGTCCTGAAACTGCAGCTCCACAACCTTGTTCGGGTACAAACGTAGCACCCCTAAGTTACATTTCTCTACTGCTCATATGAAGTCCTCTTGGAGATGCATTTAGAAGTTTATTGATGACTCATACATGAATCTAAAATCACTTTTTATATTTAAGCACTAAAGGATATTAAAATCCCCAAACCTGTAAGGCAAAGCTGTTATTAGCCACTCTGCAGATTTAGCAGACAGTGTATAAGCATTGGACAGGAATGCTTATAATAAAAATAAACCCTCGTTCTTCAGCTGTACTAGTTTAGGAATGGCTTTAAAATTAGCATATACTGGTGTATTTCCTTAAGACATAAATGGGGTGGGTTTTTTTTCACCTGAGTGAACTAATTTTAAATACTGAAAAAATAGGTATCACATCAAGCTAAACATTTTTATTTTCTATAAAGGCTTCTCCTTAATACTCTAATGCACAAAGATGTATTTCAGAGGGAGGGGAGAGGATGAGAAAAAAAGGCAGCTGTCACTAAAGATCCAGAGCATATTAAAAAATTAAAGAATGTTTTTCAGAAGACAACTCGGGGATAACCAGCTATATGAAGGGGTTTGCAGGATAGTAGTAATATTAATTTGAACAGAAAAGACAGCCTATAACTAACAATTACATTTTGGACTATCTTTAAGTCCTGGCTCAGGAATTTTTATTCTCAGATACAAATGGATGAAACATCTTTCAGAAGCAGCAAAGATAAGTCTCTGTTAAAGCTCCACATTTTTTTAGAACTTATGCCTTGCTTATGTATCTATTAAGTCTGTAGTGCTGTTCTTCCAGTTTCTTGAAAACAGCAAAAATTTTTCAGCAGAGAAAATGAAGTTTATGTGGAAAACTTTGTAAGACGGTCAAGTTATCTTTCAATGCAATAATATATGCTTCCCATCTATCAAAGATATAAATGAGTAAAAACATTTAAAATTGACCTACAAAGAACAAGATTTTAAAATAGAACTGACAGATTTTCTTTTCTTGTACTTCTGTATTATGAACTAATTTATCTTATAAAGCTAATTAAAAGATAGGTGAATTTGAAAGTCAGAGAGAGAAAACCCAAACAAATTAATACTAGTTTTAATTTAAAAAACTGGAATATTCAACACACACAAGACAATCAGTATCACCCATTCTCTGCCAAAATCAAGACTATTTGCAATATGTCTTGTTTCTCTCTGTAACTTTAGCACACACAAAACCAAACTGTTTCACAATTGCATCCTCTTTCTCTGCTTGAGCCTGTCCCTGTTCTTTAGATGACTCCAGTTGCTGATGACTAACAGTCCTGAAATAATGATTCAAGAACATGCTCGTGAATTCCCCAGATGATATGTGGGGAGGGACTGAGAACGTGGAGAAGATTGTTCTCAACATGCATTTCATCTGCACTGTTAATTGGCCCATACTCTGTCCTTTCCTGTCTTTTCTGAGTTACGGATCCTTGTAAATGCTTAAGGATAAGGAAGCAAACACATGCATATGTTCCACCTTGCCCCACCCTAGGCTCTTTTAAGAAAGAGGGGGAAATAAATGTCAAAGTTGTTGAGGGTTTTTTTCTGTTTTAAATGATTTAAAACTTTTCCCATGTAAGCTCTCAGCAATTCCACTGAGAGATCATAGACTAGAGCTCTGCTGGAACTAAATGTACCAGTTTTTGTATGAATTTTGGTAGGAAGGACCGCTTTTTAAGTCTCAAATCTTTCCTCCAGTGAACCAGAAACTTGAGCAAGGTACCAGTTTCCTCCCTGTTTATGGATTAGCACCAATTTTAATGTTTCTTTTGGTGCTGCTTGCACTTCTGTTTTCCTTGAACTCCTCCAAATAATTTTTAAGGCACTAAAAATCTTGACCTATTTTAACCTTGTTTTATTTATGACACTCCTTTTTTTCTTATCCAGCCTTCAGAAGGGAAAGCTTCCCACATTTGTAACTGGATAATACTTGAGGACAAAGAGATGAAGATATCAAATCCAATAAATAGAGGTACCCACCTAAAAGCTAGGCAGGGATTTCAGTTCTTGGCCCCAGGATGGATACAAAGCCAAGAACCTGGCAAAAAAGCCTACATTCACAGTCAAGCCTGGGAAGAACAAGATGTCTCAGGAGAGAACATAAGCAAAAAGCTACTTAGGAATAACCTAAATAAAACATGCAGATACTCTGTGAGTACCTACAAGGGCCTAATAGTAAGAGGAGCTGTGCAGGAAGGTGATTCTCAGCCTGTCAGAACGTGTGTGCACACAGAATCCATCTGATCCTGAACACACAGATTTTTCACTTAGGCCCAGGCCTCGCTTATTGCGGATTCTGCGGCCTTGATGTGTTTGAGCTGGACCTGGGTGTGTGCTGTGAGGAGCAGTTTACACTTTTGTTTGGAGGAAGCAGATTCCTGTTGACTTACCTGTTGACAAGCAAACAAGACAGGGCCTGTGGCCAATCCAAGCTTGAGATCTGCTGCTGTTGGCTTCCCCAGACGGTCAGCACACGATGTAAAATCCAGCACGTCATCTATTAGCTGGGGAAAAAATAAATAGGCAGATTATTTAGAAACTTTCTTTTTTAAAAATGAGAACTAAATACAGAATAATCCTTGTTTAAGAAAAGATTGCAGAAAGGATTAAGACAGCCCACTTTGATTTCTAAGGCAGTTTGGAGAAGTTTAGACATTACATTCCTTTTAGTTCAACAAAAGCACTACCTGAAAAGCTATGCCAACATTTTTTCCATACTGGTATGCAATCTCATGAACTTTGGGATCAGGGCAGCCTAGAATTGAAACCTGAAAAGACAAAAAAACCCAAGTAAATATAAAGCTTTAGTCAGCATCCACTTTTAGTCCATAGGTGTGACATAGCCAGCACAGGCAGGAGGGACCTGGGAAAGGCAAAAAAAAAAAAGCTGACTCAGGGGCACATTCTTGCTTATCTCTGCTCATGGAGACACACAATGAGCCAAGCTTACTAGAAAACAAGGCTGAAAAGCAGTGTAGTATTGAAACTATATTCAAGTCTGGAAAGAGATTAGCTTTACTGAATATTTATTAGACTTAAAAATTATAATGCAGGGATAAAGAGAGGAGATGTGGATGCACTGCACATGCAGGCTAGTGGTCATATACAGTCCAGTGACGGGGGAATTAAATTTATTACATATATAAATCAGCTAGGGAGTAATTGGAGGTCAGACATCAGATAAACGGACCTTACATGTCTCATAAAAGATCACAGAGCTGGAAGTGTTGAACCCAGTACAGGAGGGGCAGTTGAGATAAGGAAGATTATTTTTAAGGTGATGTTAACTGTAACTGACTTGCTCAGGAAGATGACTTAATTAGCTTGCAGGCAAAGGTATTGAGGGATAATTAGTGGCAAAGAAAAGACAGCACACCAAGCTGGCAAAAATATCACTAAACTGAGATAAACAAAACATTTTAATTGAGTACAGATAAAGGAATCCGCTATCTGAGAGACAGAAATTTTGCTGAGTAAACTCCACAAAACTAAAACACAGGACATAAACTTTGAGAATTAATATCTTGCCTCAAAGTAAGGACAGTTACGCTTTTGCATTTAAGCACTGAGCGTACACTTCACAAAATCAAGTTGGTTATATTTATGTACTCAGATTTATTTCATCCTTCAATAAAGCAATTAGGAACAGGGGCAAAAATCCATCCTGGTTTACTGCAGGCATTCCAAATCTGCTGTGACTAAGGGAAGGAGTGAAGATACATTTTATTTAACATAAGACTAAAATTACATGTTGGGAAAACCACACAATATAAAAATACATATATATAAACCCCAAATATATTTATATAAATTCGTCTTTAGGACTATGTAAGGTAGGATCATTAAAAAAAAAAAAAAAAAAAAACAACCCCAAATTAAAAGCAAGTCCAGTAGTAGCTTTGAAGGTGAACATAAGGAGGGAAATAAGAAACAACATTATATTCTAATAAATGTGATGGCACAAGATTAGAGATTATTTCATGCATCAGTGCATTCCATAACTGAGCATCAGAACACCTCCCACTCATAACCTGCATCCATGGATAATAACTAAAACCCAGAGGAATCTGTATGCCTAAGGCATTAACAGCATCTCACTTACCAATTTTATTTAAAAGAGAAGAATGGTATAGCAGGAAAATACTACTACTTATGCCTAATAATCATACAAAATCCTGAAGGCTGTTAAACAGAGTGAACTGCAAATATGAGATATTTAAATAGATGTTGCTAGGGAGTATCAAACTAGAGGATTTTGCCCTTTTATCCTCCTTTTGGTACTTGTCTCTTAAATAGCAGTATTTGCCCCAGAGATCTAACATATACTGCTGTACCATGCCTAGCAAACTTCTGGTTGCTTCTGTAATATAAATCACATAATATCAGCAGGGCAGGGGGAATGTTTTAATAAAATCTTTACCTACCACCACATTTCATCTCATGTGGAGGATTAAAATATGGATTTCAGTAGAACAAAATCCTGGTTAATGGCAAAGGATCAGAACAGGCACTAGTTGGCAGAGGCAGAGAGGAAGTGCCATGTAAGGAGAGGAGCTGACTCATTTAATCTGAGAAGTCAGGAAGAATGGAGCTATTCCTGTCAGTGGACAGTTTTCAGGGGGCACAAACATCACCTATACAAAGAATCCCACCAGTGTATGTTCATGCAAAAAACAACCCTTAGATACAGAATTTAACACAAGAAAAATTCATCAATGCACAATTAACTCTTGCATCTTTGCAAGAGAAGACTTTCATAGCTCCTGTTCAGGTTCAGAAACATTTCTTGTTCATAGACAAAAAGAAGACCAAAAAAAAAGACAAAATCCAGGAGACTAATCTGCCAGTCATCCTAAAGTGAGCAACCCTCTGACCATGACCATAAACCTTCAACATGGCTGGGTTGTGTCTACCAGGGAGTTCCTTCAGGATGCAATTTCTCAAAATGCTCTTGTAGATTATTGCCCCCACCTGGACACTCACCAGGATGCAGCCAGGCAGCTTGTCAATCCCACATGAAGTTTAACTGAAGCCATACTGGGATAATAGCATCCATTTGCAAATATAAATCAGGGTAACCAAGTCAATACAATGACATGTTTAAATTATAAAGCTCACCTCTTAAAAACATCCTATAGCTCCCCTAATAGATATGACTTGTTGATGACAAATTTAATCTTGCAAGAATTCTGACCTGTCCTCCACCAAATTGTGATGAAAAATCCTAATACCAAGTGAAACAAATTCTTTAGAAATGTTCTCTAAATTCAATAAAGCAAGTCAATCTGCTTGGTATTATTTCAAACACACTTCTTGCAATAAAAAGTTGTTTCTAGTTATGTTATATGAGAGACTATAAATCAATCTTGCCTCTTTACTGAATTTCACATCCATAAAATACATAACCAGCTCTGGGTAGATAGATCCTGCTCTGATTTTTAATATGTGACAATATGGCAGCTGATGTTGAAAGCACTTGCACATTTCTACCAGTGCCCTGCAGGTCAAAGAGGAAAACCTGCTGCTGGGCCAGGATATGCTTGTATACACAGTACAAGAGATGTTTGTTCTTGCACTCCTAGATTTCTGAAAAGGAAAAGGCTCTAAAATTTTCCCCTTTTCCAGCCTTTCTCCTCCATGCCCATCTCTAGAAGCAGTCAGGTTCCTGCCTTCTCACTCATGGCTCATCCACTGCTGTTCTAGACATAAGCACTGTTCCTCTTTCCAGCAGAATCACAGAGCAGTTTAGGTTGGAAGGGAACTCTGAAAGTTATTTGGTCCAGTCATCTGCTCAAAGCAGTTTACTTCATAGTTAGATCAGGTTTCTAGGGGCTATGTCCAGTTGGCTTCTGAGCATCTCCAACGATGAAAAATCCCACACTCTGTCTGGGCGACCTGTTGCAGTGTTTGACCAACCTCATGGAGAAATTCTTCCTAAGAGCCAGCTGAATTTTTCCATTAACTTGTTCTTTTGCTGCACATCTCTCTATCCTCTCTGTGCCCTCCAATCACAAGGCTGGAGATGGCAGGAAGATTCCCCCTTTGCCTTCTCTAAAGAGCTCTTGGCTCTTGGCAATATCATTTGCTCCAGTCCCTGTCCTCACGGTGGCCCTTCGCTGAACTCACTCCACAGTGTCCATGTCTGTCCTGGATGAGGGAGCCCAGCCCTGTGGTCTCACACATGCTGAACAGAGAACAGTCCCTGCCCTGGATGTGCTGGCCACGCTGGCAGCGATGCATCCACAGCGTGCCTGTCCCTCCCTGCTGCAGGCACATCCTCACTTCCTCCAGGATCTTCAAATCCCTTTTGGTAACTGCTCTTGCCAAGGGGGTGGTGAAGGCCTCCCTGGGAGAGGGAGATGACTACCCAGCAGAAGCCCCCCTACACTGCAGACAACTATGTTGTCCCAAACCTGCATTTTCATGCATTTGACCTTTTCTCAAGTAACTAACATTTTAACATGCTAACCAAGTACCTGTTTATGACGAATTGTACTTCTACAGAAATGTTATCTGCCTGAATACCTGTGAGATGTTTATGCTAATCTTTTTCATAGCAAACATTATAAAGAAGAAATATCCCCAAAGAACTGACTGCATTTTAAATAATAAGGAAATTTACTAGCTGACTGTAATATCTGATACTACTGATGCTATTACCCTACATCTGTCATTGGCCATTATTGCAGTCTGTGTGCTTAGCTGGGCTGGGAGGACCAATTCTGCTGGGGATCAGAGATCTTATTTTCCTAGACACCACTTCCACACCGCTGTAGGTTTTCTGATGGAGCCCTGTGCACACATCAAATGATGAACTAGTTGCAGCAGGAGCTCACAGGCAGATCCAGAGCTGCAGACTGTTTGTTTTCTTGGGTCCCTAAGGCAGACCTTCCACACACAGCCTCGCCTCATGCCAGGAGGCTGCATGCTTTCTCCTAATACAGAAAGCAAGAATTTCAAGTACAACTTTACACTTATCTCAAAGCAAGCATGATTTAATCCCTCTTCTGAAAGTATTCTGTGCAAAATATAAACAGCCTTATGAGGCTTAGGAATTCACATTGTAGCAGGGTAAAAAAAAGAAAGAGAACCTGCTCAAGTTATTTTGCCATCTCCAGCTTGCCTGATGACTGAACAGAAATTCCACTTCAGCTTTATTGTTTCTGAATTCTTGAACCAAAGTCACCTCTCGTGTTTCTTTGAAAAATGCCTTTCAGTAACTAAGGCTTCAGTGACCGTCTGGGCCATCTGCCACATTTCCTTTTGCAATTTATTACTTTGACTGAAACTTTGTAACATTCCCCCATGCAGAACTATTGTAGAAATAAACTGGAGACTGGGATGGCTCTAACCTCTTGAACAGACTATTCTGCCTATAAAAAAAAGTATTTTGCTGACTTAATGGACTTTGATTTAAATGCAGTAATGCTTTGGCAGTGCAGAAGGTATCTAATACATCTGATGCTGACAGACTCTCTATAATCTTGCTTAGACATTTTTCCAGGAATACTCTACTCTTCCATCTCTAAGAATGTAGAATGCTAAGATGCCACCTGAACTTGTCTGACATCTTTCCAGTTAATACTTTCATTTAATTTATGCACAGCAACAAATCAGTTTTTTCCTATCATTAACAGGAACTGAACTGCTTTTAATGGCACACTAGCCTGGTTGTAACTGATATGAAAACCAATAATCTCTCTCCTTAGCTTTGTCCCTAAAAACAAAATATGAATACTCTTGATTCCCTAACTGAATTTCAAGCTAGAACTGATGATCTTGCTTATCATTGTCGCTTCAGAACACAGAACTCCATTCTGATTCCATCCATTTCCTTAGTAGCCAAAGCCATCTGAACAAAAATGTGTCAAAACCCAAACACACCAAAAAAACCCCTACATCTCAAACAAAAAAAATTCCCTTTTCACTGCTATCAATGGAGCTCTCCTAATCCAGGCAGAAAGAAACTGAGGGAGACATACACATATACAATTCATTGCTGCTCTGTGCAGCAAGAATGGTTTTGCCATGAAGACAGTCCTCTCACTCAGTTTTCCTTTGTAACACAAATCTTACAGCATATAAAATTCCAGCAATTCAGCAGTGGAACAATTCAGACCAGCCACTAGAAGAAAGGCAGCCAAACATTCCGCCCCCTTCCCCCCCCCAGCATTACAGCGCAATCTTGAAAGAAGTGCTTAAAGCCTTAACTCTGGCAAGTCAGGAAAAGGAAAAAGCTCAAGTTAGCACATTTGTAAGGAGAACCCACCCAGTGGGAAGGTGATTCCTTCTATCTGCAAAGATTATTTTAGAGAGACTGTCAAAGTGAACAAAAAAATGTGTGTATGTTTTTAGTCTAATTCTCTTAGAACTCCCTCTTGCTATGGAATACACTAGAATACACCAATATACTGCCTTTAATTGAAAAAACTAAAACTCTCTTGGGATAAGATTATTGCCTACCTTCTCCATTTTCTGCACTAAAACTAAACGTATTTTTGAATAAGAACAATCTTGAATTGGATCTTTTTGTAATCAAGTAACAGAACTCAGTGACAGATAGAATTGGATATAGCAATTGATAATTAAAACCCACAGACAAATCAAGGAGTGCATGCTTCTGTTCTTTTACAAGGTGGTGTACAGTATAAACAATTAATTGTTTCCTCTCACTGTTATCATTTAAGGTCTCAATACCAATGGGTAGGGACAGACGCCAAAGATGACTTAAAATCAAATTATAGGCTCAAGGATGATCAACTGAGATGAAAACCACTGCCTCAAGGTTGGAGAATTTCATAAATTAAAGGCTGCCACTGTGATCCTTATTTTGAGTCAATTGAGGATAACAATAAATCTGTGTATGAATAAAAAACAGAAAAGAAAAAGTGAAAAACAATATTGGAGGCTACACAGCTGAATTGTGATAAAATTCACAGTCTCAAACCCATTCACATTCTGGCTGAATACCATTTAAAAGGTTTGCTTTTCCAGAGAAAACAGCCATAACTGGGAGTTTAGCTCTGAAGCTCACAGTATGGTGTGTTAACTCGAGAAGAGACAGACGTACATACTGCTTTACAACTGTTTGCTATAAGACTCGCGGTCTTCTTAAAAGTCTTCTCGAGGTAGTGAGCAAATCTCTCATTCTCGTTCTCCTTGGAACCCAACTGGAGGAATTCACCTAAAAAGATGCACAGACGGGAGGTTTTATTTGTGGGTTTACTGCTTAGGCAAGCAAATCTGAAGAATAAATAGAAAAAGACCTTACCACGCACCAGATCTTCAATCACCTGAGTTAGAACAGAGATGATAGTAGTATTTCCAATTCGTGCTAAAGCTACAGAAGCAGCCGAGAGGATGAAGTCACCAGCTAGAACAGCCTAAGAATAAAAAAAAAAAAATTAAAAAACCCCACAATTTTCTTTATTTGGCAGATCTACTCACATCACATAACTTTCCTACATAAAGCACAAATATGTCATTGTAACAGAAGAAACAGAAGATCACCAAATATTGAAATCAGAATAATTTTTGAATCTTTTATTTTTCTCTATAAGCTCTGTCCTCCCTGTACGCAATACCTGAACATGTGTTTGCCTGTTTTTTTTGAACATTAGCTCTCTATTTGACTATTCTGTTGTGACTTACACCACGTGAACTCTGAATTGCCTCAAGTTCTGGTGCGTCAGCAGTGTATTTCCTTCCTTGCATTTTCTGGTTAAGACCTTCCTTGTAATGAGCTATGAAGAAATACACCACTCTCAAAAAAAATTTCCTGCTGACTGAAAACATTTTTGTTTTCACTACTGATCAGACTAATACACAGCGCTCAGGATGAAGTGCAAGTTCAAGGTACTCAACAGCACTGCAGAGAATGGTATAGGAAATGTAAAATCAGTAAGAATCACAGAATGGGACAGGCTGGAAGGGACCACACAGTCATCTGGTCCAACCTCCCCGCTCAAGCATGGTCATCCTAGAGCACGTGGCACAGGATTGTGTCCAGACAGTTCCTGAATCTCTCCAGTGAGGGAGACTCCACAACCTCTCTGAGCAACCTGTTCCAGTGGGCAGTCACTGCACAGTAAAGAAGTTCTTCCTCATGTTCAGGTGGAACTTCCTGTGCGTGTTTCTGCCCTTTGCCTCTTGTCCCATTGTTTGGCAACGCTGAGCAGAGCCTGGCTCCATCCTCTGGACACCCTCCTTTCTGATACTTATAGACACTGATGAGGTCCCCTATCAGTCATCTCAAGGCTGAACAGGCCGAACACTACACACTACAATCACTCATTATCTAATGTTTTCAACAGTTCAGAAACGGAACACACATTTGTCGCACCCACAAACTCTGTACACCTCTTCATACTTTCTCCAGCATATCCCAAGACCTTAGGATAGTAACTTTAAAAAACCCTAGGTGTTTGTGCTTTGCTGAAATTCAAAGGCAAGTCTTGCACTTATTAGCAAACTCACCTTCCTCTCTCCCCAGATTTGATTAAGCGTCCTTTTTCCTCTGCGAGAATTTGCATCATCAATAACATCATCATGAACTAGACTGGCTGTGTGGATCATCTCAGCAATTATGGCCACAGAGCGCTGGCTTGCTTGCACTTCCCTAAAACAAAAAAACAAGAATAGTCAAACAATTAAATCAGTTACATATGCTGCAATACACTAAAAGAAATCTCTACTAAAACAATAAAAATGTTTTTCTGAAAACAGCTGTCGCAGCTTTTCTGTGATATGAACCCCATTTTCAAACCTGGAATTGGGAATACAAGAGAAGTTAGGATCCCATTAATACAGTAAGTGCGATGGGACGTTTCCATCCTTATTAAAGGCCTATTTCTACCTTGCTGTATTAACACTACTGCAAAACTCCTGCATTATTGACTATAATCCCTCTAAATCCAGACGGCAATAAATAGCACAGCATCAAGGACTCTTGGTTTCAAGAAGATGGAAAACAGCAGAGAAAAGAATGACAGGTACCTTTGTAGATGAGTTTTAAGTTTTCCTTATCTCTGTGTTGCTCTGCCTATAAACCAGCATCACAAACTCCAAAGCTGGATAACTCTACTAACCAGCAAGCTGGAGAGATCGAAGGCACAGAAACCTGTATTCTGCATCTGAGTGACATAACTCATGGATCTTATCCTTTATGTTATCTGACTACCTTAAAACCTCGGAGGTTCTTCAAAAGCCTGAGGACTCAACTGGATTTACACTGCAATCCCTTCAGGACTGGAAACACCAACTACCTAACACTTACTGGAATTCAGCCTTTGGGAAGAACTAACACTGATGAGTCAACTCTCAGTAGTTCACACCTACTTTATTTTTTTAAACTAGGTGAAAAGAAGGTAATGGAAAAACATAGAAGCAAATATCTAGGGAACAAGACTGGCAAAATGAGCATAAAAGAGCAAACCTAGCTCTCACAAAGGACCATCTACCCTAGTATCCAAACTGTCACTGTCTTATTCTGTATCCATCTTTTTTTTCTACCTCTTTTCATCATGGGTTACATGCAGGATCCCAGAAATGGCTATCCCAGCCAGGTCATAGCTGTAAGAAGCCCACATGGACACAAAACACCAACAAAATTCAATAATTAAAAAAAAAATTACTTCTGATATATAGATACCCTACTTCTGGTAGGGTATCTATATATCACAGAAAATTGCACTGTTTTCCAGCAGAACAAAAAGAGAACTGAAACAAAAGACAATAATTCCAGCTCAGCTGTAGGGAATTTAAAACCTTCCTGCACTGCCTATGTCTATTAAAATGTAGTGATTAATCACAAAATGGAAGAACATCTTGCAGTCTGCTGACGTAACACTGCATTCTGACACCTACCTCTACAGAGAATTCTGCACTGCTGTCAGTGGGAGTTTTATATCCTGAACAATAGCAGGATGAATGCATAGCTCAAAGGCTCTGAAAATGTGGCTTTTACACAACAGAAAATATGAGCTGGAAACCTTCATGGTGGTTTGAAGGCAAGTTTTACTGTGGAGTAATAATTTAGTCAAATGCTAGGTCAGTGTAAATAGTTTTCCAAAATAAACTATTCTTACTAAGTAGGAGAAAACTTACCTTCAAAAAACTGTAAAGGTCTCCAGCCTCTTTCATGCACTGGTCTCCTTTTGGGGATTCCCTTTTTCATTAATAATGTCAGCAGACTGGACTTCCTGCTGGGAAGCAGCAGTAAATGGCAACACTCAACTGACACACCAAAATCTTTCAGTAGTATGAAGACAGTACAAAACCAGATATTTGAAAAGCAGGTTTTGAAAAGTTCTGCACTTCAGTGCATGTCATCTCTGACAATGACTAAAAATGGCATAGGAATGCTCATGGCTCATGTGTCTGGTTTCCAGAATGTTATATCAAATGTGATAATTTAATCTGAAAGGTTTTTTTAAACTACTATTTCCACAAAGTCTTGAGCAAGATTCTTTCCATTGCTGGAAAAAAAAAATCTGCAATAGTTTCCTACAAGCATCTTGTGAGAGTAATTCTGAATCAGAGCATGCCTATTTTAGGGGAAAACACAAGAAACAGGATCCCTTCTCATGCCCCGCCATTTTTCATTCAGCTTTGCCTGCAAGACAAAAGCAAAATGTGGCAGCAACTCAAGTCAATAGATAACTGGGCCCACACTTATTCAGGGGATAGTGGAAAGATGCCATTTTTAGATCATTCTCAAAGTAAAGATACCCCAAGATGATACGTATTCACACAATTTTTTTGTACAAGTTTATCTTTTTTACACATGCAAAATACTAAATTTTAAGTCCTTGAGTATGTTCTGTTTTTCAGGAGGACCCCCCTGCTTGGTTCTGTGATAAGACTCTACAGACTTACACTACCTTGAGGTGTTTTTCATTACAAGACTTGTTTCATGTACGCTGAACAAGACCAAGGCTGACCTTACAGGTTAAAACAAACATCTCTCTCTACAAATATCCCTCTTCAAAAAAAAAGACAAAAACCCCACAAATAGTGAGGGGGAACTCAAAATGATGCAAACCAGTATTTACACTCTCTAAAACAAAGAGCTTTGCAATGTGTTTGCCAGTAAGTAAATACTGCCAGTTTAAAGACAGGAAATTGCAAGAGAATTCGCAAAAGAACTTGCAAAATTTCTGTGTTATAACCACATTTCATTTTTTTTTCCATAAACACAACAAATGCATTTCTGCTGCTAAGCCCCTGTGGCTGAAACAACCACCTCAGAAACACTGTCTGTGACACGGAGGGGCACTACAAACTAGGGGAAACACAAATAATGCATGTGTTAACATGGGAGCAAATTGCATAGCAGTTGAAAAACAGCAGAGTACGGGCTTCTGACGACCACAGTTTGGGGGAGTGAAAGAGGACTAAGGTTGCTGGCAGGTCCTCATACCTTTAGGAAATATTATTCTATTGGGTTTAGCATGGTCATCATAGATAAATGTTTCTCACACTATTCTGATGAATTTACTTCCCTTTTCCCCCCTAAATCTGTGCTCACTGTTTTCTCTATTGAGATGTCTCTGTACTTCTTTGGCCCTTTCTTTTTCATCTCTCTCAGTTTGCTTGCAGAAATAGAAACAAAAACTCTCTTATTTGCAAACACCTTTGGAGAATACACTCTAAACAGAAACATTAGCTTCTGTCAAGCTAAGTGGTAATTCTGTGAAATTCTACACACAGGTATGTGAAGAAATGCCACCAGATGTGTGAAATTGAGGATTTGTATGACCTCAGTTTAAAGTATTTACAACAATTCTCACTCTCACACATAGCCAAGTTGCTATCAATAAGCAAAAAGCCACTGCCCAAGGGACTTGGACTTCTGGCACTTAAGACTTCAAGAGAAAAGAAACAATATACCAACACAGAACAATATGAATGCTTCAGCCACTTATAATTTTGATAACAGTTCAGATAATTCTTTATTAAAACTGTCATTTTCCTTATTATGACTACAATAAAGTGGCCTCACGCTAGAAAACAGTTGACCTGCTGAGCATATTCTAAATACTTTGTCTTCCTCAAATCTGGACAGAAATGATCCTGTCACCTAACCTGTAAGCAGAGCTATCTGGGCATTCCATTCCATTCTCTTGAATCACTCTGGTGGGACTCTGTGAAGACAAAGAGGTCTCTCTGCACTGCCTCCTAAGATCAGGAACTATAACCTTACTAATCTGAGTCCTTTTATTGTAACAGCCAAAACAAAGTATTCCTTTTATACAACTACTGCACAAAAGAAGAAAAAAATAACCCCAACAAATGAAAGAGCAGGCAAAAGCATGCTGGGTCCAGCAAGTTATATGACAGTTAAAAATGGCATCAAGATGAAGCAGAAACTCAACAACAGTAACGCAAACCCCAGAGGCAAGATAAAAAAGAAAAATGCTAGGGATGAACAGCACAGGATATTGGTTCACTCTGCAGGTCTACAGATACTGCAGTCAGTGTCTGTGACTACATCTGTGGGAACCAAAGCTTCAACAAAATAAAACAAGTCTGGGAGAAGAATCAATATTAACTGAGGAAAAGAATGACAAAATGCTTTAAGGGAAACGACAAGTTGAAAGAGGAAAAACATCTTAAAGTGTTGTGAGAAGCAGAATGAAAGGCAAGTATTTTTCCCCTTGGGTCTACAGAGAGAATAGCAGACTTACAAATACAGTGTTTCCTTCTCTACATATAAAATTTTCCTCACAAACATTAGTAAGTTGGAAGAACAAGTTGTCACCTGGAAACAACGCTGCTTTAAGAAACAATAATAACGAAACCAGTATCAGCGTGAACTGGAAGCATATGTACATGCACAGCAGGTGTAACACAGCCTGCTTCCAGAAGCTTGAAAGCAAAAGAGAAGAAAACGCCCATAAAACTTCATTAGTCACAGGAAGTGGGTACCCACAGTATGAACACGCATTCTTTTGACAGGGCCCAGCCAACCCGCAAAAAACTGTAGCAGTTATTAATATAATAAATAATAAGTCCCATGGGGACCATAGCGACACCAACGTGGTGTGTAACAAGAGAGCGTTTATTCCAGGAGTCCCAGCTTATATAGCAGTTTCAAATGCTGCCACGTCACACAGGTAATTTCTTAAGCCAATCCCATACAAGCATTCAACAGAGCATGTGTAACAGAGTACTTAGAACTACAACCCCCAGGATGCTTTGCAGCACCTGGTGTTACCAGACCCCATAATTCCCCCATTTTTATTAATAACAAGACAGTGTAAATTTAAAAAACAGTGCAATTCTTAACAAAACGTTTTTCACTTGACATAGTAAACTTATTTCTTGTTTAAACCTTATATACGTAAGAGTTCTATATAATAACAAAACTTTATTAATTAAAATCCTTATTTACCTAAGAGGTCTATGCAATTGGGTAGCACAAAAACATTTATTATCTGAGGGTTTACACACAACTAGGGAAAACTTACTTTATTAAAACACAAGGAAAAGTTTAAAGGAGGAACATTATGTTCTGAGTTCTTTTTCAATGAGATTTGGTAGAGGTAGTGTATGTTGTGTTTGTTTCATATATAAGGTGCAGTATGGTTTACATACATTCATACATTCACACAATCT